CCCCCCCCCCCAAACTATAAAATTATTTTCGTTGCTACTTTATAACTGTAGTTTTGGTACTGTTTTGAATCGGGCGACCCCTGTGAAAGGGCTGTTCGACCCCCAAAGGGGTTGAGACCCACAGGTTGAGAACCGCTGCTGTATAGGATTTCTCAGGTTGTAAATCTTTTCAGGGAACAGACAGCCTCTTTCTGCCCTAGAGCAGCGAGGAGGTTTTGTTTTTTAACCACTATCCATGTGGTTAACAGCTGGGTGCTCATCCCACAGTCCCACCTGGTGTCCTTCACTATGGGGAGGGATGGCGAAATACTTTACTCAGAGTCAGCTTATATTTCCAGTGACCTTCTTACTGATAATACTATTACCCCTGCTCTTTCATGACACCTGACCAGTAAAATATTCTTGTTTTTGTAGCTTTCTTGACTCGTCTCTTTGCTGTCCTGAGATTTGAAAGTGTTATCCATGAGTTTGATCCGTGAGTATATTGGATTGGCCCAGCATTATGTTTTTGGGTTCAGGTTCATGGGTTTTAGATTTTAATTAACGATCAGTGATGAAGACGTGCTTTCAGTAATGCTGCTTTTGTTCCATGTGCTGTAAATTGACTTAGTGGTTAAGTTTTAAGGTGTTGAAAATTTAAAGCTGTGCATTGGAATAGAAATTTTATTTATTAGATAAAAAAGATACAGCAGTATTAGTAGCTAGTATTTACTGAGTTTTATTTGTTGCATTTGGAGCCACAGTTGTGCTTATTTTGGGGTCTCCAAAATCAGTTTCTATTTCTTCTCATGAATGAGGACATTTGTATCCTTTTGTTTCTTTGTCACCAGTCTGCCAGAACTTCTTTCCCAGACTCCGTAAATGAGCAGGTACTGCAGGCAAGGCAAACGTATTATTTATTCTCTGTAATCGTAGGAAGCGCCCTGGAGTTAGGCACATGTCTGCTAGCCAAAGGGTGGGCAGTTTGAGACGCAGCAGTCTGCTTTCATAAAGACAGCCTTGGGAACTTCGGGGGCCTTTCTACTCAGCCCCATATGATTCATGTGAACTGCTTTGGTTTTGGTAACATAAAGTTGGAAGTACCACAAAGATCATGTGACTTGATATTTTGCAGAAGAGGAAACTGCATCTCAGTGAGATGCTCAGGATTTGGTGACTTATTTCTCTTCTTGTTTCATTGTACCTCTCCTGCTGTTAGGTAGAAGATACAATTTGTTTACCTGTTTACTGCCTGTTTTCCTTTTATTCCTTCTGTCTCTGATGGTTACCAAATTAGTGTTTGTCAGAGATAAACAAAATGACAGATTTCTGCTGTTTGCTATGTAGACTTATTTCAACTCCTAAAGCTTAACTGATTGTGTTAGCCAGGGTTCTCTAGAGAGATAAAACCAAATTGCTGATAATTTAATATATTTCTTTAAAAAGATAAGTAGATATATAACAAGGAATGAACTGTTAAATCATATACAGTTAAATATATAATACAAGAAAGAAACAGTTAAATTATAAAACACTACAAATGGCTCAATTCAACTCACTGCCGTGAGAGAGAAGTGAGAGACTAGCAGTCCTTCCAGTCCGATCTGCTGCCAGATCTTCCTCTATTTATAGAGAGAGCTAGGCTATGTCAGCACAGCAGCCAATCAGAAGGCAGGTCACCAACTGCCAGCCAGGTCACCAACTGCTCCAGCGATGTCTTAAAGGGACCTCAACTTACAGCGACACAGTCCACAGGCTAGGGGTCCCACAGGTAGTGTAGCCTTTAAATTGAGGCACAGAACTAGCAAGGCAGCCGCACACTGGTCCGATGATCAAAGAGCGAGAGACAAGAAAGGCGAGACTCACCAAGGCATTTATCTCTCTGCCCTTCAGTTAATCCCACTTGTGTTTATCGGCCAGGCTGGCACAATAAACTATTTCAATGATGAAGACAGAAATAGTTTTTGAAAAGGGCAGGGAGTAAGTATCAAACCAAACTCACTGCTATGTAATGGATTCTGAGTCATAGTGCCCTATAGGTCAGGACAAGGTAGAACTAACTGCCCCTGTGGGTTTCCAAGACTAAGTGTTTATGGGGGAGAAAGCCTCATCTTTCTCCTGTGGAGCAGCGGGTGGTTTCACATGGCTGACTTGAGGTTAGCAGCTCAATGCCTAATCCTCTGTGCCCCAGGGCTGCTGGGGGAGGACAGTTGTGACGGTCTCTAGTCACTTTCTTAGTTTGAGACCCTTGTATTGATATTTTGCTTCCTCCATTTCTTAAAAAAATAGCTTTTCATGTATGTATAGGTTTAAGGATTTTATCTCGGGTATGTTTTGATCCACTAGTTTGTTATCTAGTGTGTCTGAAACAGATATCATAAGTGAGTGGCTTCAGCAAATATATTTTCTCACACTTTAGGAGGCTAACCCACTACTACTGGCCCAGTTGATTCTGAGTCAGAAGGACTCTCTCTGTACATAGTGTTTCAAAGACTGCAGATCTTGACAAGTGTGGATAGCCTCATCTTTCTTCCACAGAGTGACTGGTGGGCTTGAATTACTGACCCTGGAGTTATCAGCCCAACATTGTGCCACTGGGCGCCTTGTTTAGGAGGATAGAAGATGGAATTCAGAGTGTGGGCTCCCTAGGGAAAGGTACTCTGTGTGTCTCCTGCTTCTAGGAGGTTCTCAGTGCAGGGACCCAATCCAAAGGAAGCGCTCTAATCCCAGCTTTTCTTTCTTGATGGTCATAGGTCCTGATCTCTGCTGACTTGTTTAATCTCTTGAATCTCAAAAGGGATTGACTAGAGATACAACCTAATCCTTAGGCTGTCTCCTGCCTCATTAACATAACTGCCACAGATCCTGCATTGTTAACATTGTGGAGGGTAGGGTTCAGAGCACATAGATTAATTACATCAGGTCACCAAATCCAGGATGATTACATAGTAGTAAGAATCATGGCCTATCCAAGTGACCTATCCACATAGCTTATTCAAATGTTTTTGGAGCACACACTTCTTTCTCTAACACTTACCATGTATGGTGATATTAGAAATATTTTAATACGAATGGATGCATTGCAAGTGTAAATACTCATGAAGAAGCTTGTTTTCAGAATGGATTAAAATTTTTCCTTTTATCTGTAACCGGAATATGAAATTACCCATGCGTTCTTATGATGTTGGCATGTTCCTTTATTTTTTTATTCCTGTCACTTGAAAAGAGCCCAAATCTATTGTTGCCTGTACCCCAGCTGTTGTTGTTTTTTGGATGCTTGACTGGTGATAATGACTAACATATGGCGATCTGAAATTTCCTTTGTTTTAATATAAGTTTCATTTCCTTATGAGAGAAGCGGTGCTTTAGGCGAGACAAATGTGGCATGAGAAATGGGAAGACTCATGATAATGTACAGTGATTTCCACACTTTCATATTAAACTGACTCTGTAATGGACTGAATGACTGGAATAATGGTTTAAGGTGATCTACGGGAAGATACATTTTTACAGTGACATAACCTGATGAGCAAATTATCTACAAATTGGTTCAACTGAAGAGGAGGAAAAGCAGATCACAGATCTCTTTCTTTTGTGTTTCAGATACTTTAATTATCGGACTACCCGGTTCCTGGCTGAGGAGGGGTTTTATAAATTCCATAATTGGTTTGATGACCGGGCCTGGTATCCTTTGGGACGAATCATTGGAGGAACAATTTACCCAGGTGAGGGGAACAGGATTTTTTTTTTAAACCAAGATTATATATTTGTATTGTATTTTAGACAAATTTGTATTTGCATATTATGTAAAAGTTTCTCATTTTTTCCTACTGGCTTCATTTTGAGACACTTGTATTTTTTATCATGAGTACATGAGGTTGACACGAATTGAAGTGGACTTGATAGCTGGCCACAAACCCCCGATTCCTAAAAGTGGGTCTCATACAGACAGAAGAACCTGTCTCACTGTGTGAGACAGTGGGAATGGGTGGTTTTGATCCATTCTAAAATCTGAATGAATCCTTAGGAGAGACATTTGTAGGCCTTCTGCATTTGAGTTTGGGGTACTGTGTCCAAAACTTGGTAGTAACCTTGATAATTAGATTCATCTTTCTCTTACGAGAACCACCTAATGGAGTTTCTTTTCCTATTGCAGGCTTAATGATCACCTCTGCTGCAATCTACCACGTCCTCCATTTTTTCCACATCACCATCGACATTCGGAATGTTTGTGTGTTCCTGGCCCCTCTCTTCTCTTCCTTCACCACCATCGTCACGTACCACCTCACCAAAGAGCTCAAGGTGAAGGATTTGGGGTGATAGGTTTGGGAGTGAATGTTTTTGAACCTCTCTTGGATGATGCTGAAGGGTGGGGGGTTGAGACCCTGGATGAGAGTAGGGAGAACAACTAAAGATAACTTTTGTTGGACAAAATCATTGGATTCATTATCACCTCTAGATTTTATATATATATTTCATCATTAGCACTTGTTTGTCTTTATAAGAGAACATTTGATGGTCAAATGTAAATGGCTACATTAAAAACCAAAACACCAAAACCAAATGTTTAAAATGGAAATGTGTGGTTTAGATTCTCGAAGTCCTCAGAATCCTAATTTTAAAAACTCTGTGCCCTCATGTCTGTTCTGAGTCATAAAGACTCTATAGGATAGTGTAGAACTGTCCCTGTGAGTTCCTGACACTCTATAGGAGGAGAAAGCCCTGTTTCTCTCCCATTGAGTAACTGGTTGTTTCAAACTGCTGGGCTTGTGGTTAGCAGTCAATGCATAACCACCACCAGGGCTCCTCAGAATTCTATGGGAAGAGCCAAAAACAATAGGAAGTTTTCCAGCATGATCCGTTCTACTATAGGCAGACACTTAGCGAGTTTTCTTGTTTTTTTTCTTTTTCTTCTAAACATACATTTTAAGATTCTTAATCTATTTGGTTCTATAATGAATAGAGAACAATGCTGTTTCTCTCCATATTTCAGCATTGCTGATCCTGGCTCCTTTTTGCTCTTCTGAGTTTATGTTGTCAGGGAGATACTTGGGAGTGATAAACTACCATATATACTCGAGTATAAGCTGACCCAAATATCAGCCGAGGCATCTAATTTTACCATAAAAATGGCATTAAAAATATGCTGGAGACCTCGGCTTATACTCGAGTGTATATGGTCTTAGGACAGTTGCGAAACCTGAGTATAGTTTAGAGGCCTTTCATCCTTCTCTTTGCTGCCTTGTCCTAAGCTTGACGCTTACCAATAGACAAACCTTGCTCTTGGAATATGGCTCGTATATTATGGATTCTCTCACCTGAGCCCCAGAGGCCTGTAATAGTCCCACTTTATTATCTTAATTCTTGGCATCTTCAGTTCAGGGAGATTATCACATCCTCTTATGGACTTTTTAACTAATAGTTATTTTTCTTGGGCTCTCTTTGCATGGCTTTTAGAAGTATGACTCGTGTTTCTGTGTTGTACACATATTATCAGGGTAAGACGATCCACTTGTGGACAGACTAACAGGTAAACAACTCATTCTCAGGCACTTTCTGATGTTTGACAGTTCACATAATTTGTCTGTTTTTAGCATTTGGGACCTCAGCTCAGCTTTGGTATCATCACAGGTGTTGGTTGTGCTGATTGTAGTTCTCTTGTGTTGTGAGTTATTCCAGTCATCTCACCTCTACCTTAGAAATGATCGGACTGTTCTCTGGGCCCAGCATAAACAAAATGAACTAGCAGGGGATCTCCCTTCTTACAGGTATCTTTTCTTACAGGATGCAGGGGCTGGGCTTCTTGCTGCTGCCATGATTGCTGTAGTTCCTGGATACATCTCCCGATCTGTGGCTGGCTCCTATGACAACGAAGGTAAGACTTTGAAGTAGATCTGTTCATTTCACTGTCCAGTAGGGCTTCATGAAGTACAATGAAACTTGGGTTAAAATAAAATACTAGGCAATATCTAAAATGAGAAGGAAGGAACCTTAGGCAAATTTATATTCGTTCCTTAGCAAGGTTGCTGGTAACTTGTAGGCCTTTGCTTATTTCTGGTCATATAAATATAGAATTAAAGAAAACCATAAATATAGAGTTAATTTTTGATGTTGACTGACACTATTGTTTTAATACTGTAATCATTTGCTTTATTGTCCTGGATAGGTATAATGGATGTCTTTAAACTATAATGACATCTGCTAGCGTGTTTTCAACTCATTGTATTTTTTGTATTTTTTTTCCTTTAATAAAACATTAATTATTTAAAGGTGGTTGATGATACATTTATGTTCTTTTCTAATCTATTTAGAAGGGTAGTGCTCACTTCAGCAGCACTTAGACTAAAATTAAAATGATACAAAGAAGATTAGCGTGGCCCCTGTGTAAGGATAACACCCAAATTTGTGAAGCATTCCATATTTTTAGGTTTCAAAAAAAGAAAGGTAGATACATTCCTATAAAAATGACTATTAATAGTCAAATAGTAGTTTAATTCATAATAGACTTAGGAACAAAGTCCTTTGAGAATGTGGGAAAAGGAGAGATTAGTTCAGATTTGGGGTCCGGGAAGACTGGAGGCCCCATACGTTGGGACTTCATTGGGGAAACGCTGAGGAGAAAGGCCTGCAGGGTCAGGTGTGGGCCTGACTGGGCCCCGAGCCTCACAGGTGGTGGTTCTGTAGTTTGGCAGTCACTTCATGTAATTACGTCAGTAGGGTCCTTTATCAGGTACTCAGCTCCAAGATGAACCCCTATAGGAAAGGTGGTTTCCTCAGGGGTGTGAACACTTAATGACATTCTGGCAAAACTCTTGCTCTAGATCATCCTGTATTTGGCTTGCCATATTTGGACCATTTGCTCATGAGACTTGAGCCAGTGGCCTACTGCACTACCTGCCAAACTTGAATTTGTTAGCGTCTGCAGCCCGTGGACAACCTCTGCTGTCGGACCTACTGATCTTGGCTTGGTTGGCCACTACAATTTTGTGAGTCAAGGGAATCCTCCAGCCTGATATCTTACCCACAGACTTGGGACTTGTCAGTCTCTATAAACATAAGCCATTTCCTTGACATAAATCTCTTTTTTGATACATCTAGATAGACATTTTTAAGCTTTTCTAGTGAACCTATCCTGAGACATTTGGTACTGAGAATGGTTCTAGATAAAGAAGATTATTAGGGGGTGTCCAATTTCCCCAGATGGGCCCTTGGGTCCCCACTCT